CATGACGACCCGTCTGAACCAGACGAAAATTTACCGCAAAATTACATCTCTGGCCAGAATGTAAATAAATAGGCGGAGCGAGCCGCGACATCACGGGGCTCATTCCGCCCATTTGCCATTCTCAGCAGTCATTGAACACAACAGCATTTGGGAGTTCCGAATGCCATTCGGGTCGGTGAGCCGAGGTGTCATATGAATAGTAGGGCTGCGGAAATTAACGATTAATTCCTCAATTAATCGTTAATTTCTTTGATCGATTAAAATTTTTTTGATCGGTACTCCCCCCTTCCGCAAGTGGCTCTGTCGGCTAACGAAGGGAAGGGGGGAGGAGTCCGGTGGCGTTGATGTCCATGACGTCACCGGACTCCTCCCCCCTTCCCTTCGTTAGACGACGGAGAGAAGATTCAGAAGTGTCACATGACCTTTAGGTAGGTTTTTTTTTTAACTTTGTCATGATGACTACAGTCACTGAAACGGAAAGAGATAGGAATTACAACATTTTGAGTTGCCAGCAGCACATTAATAGAGCAGAAATTGTCCAACAGGTACACTTGTTCTGGTGACATCTAAAACGTGATTTCCCTCACTTCTTACTTCCTATTGTGTCTATAGGGCAGAAATTCCCAAATTGGGTAAGAAAGGCAATAAAAAAATGACAGGGCATATAACCTTTTCATACTCTATCTAGAATGTGAAAATATACTTTAAACTAAAAAAAATAGCCAGTTAAACTAGTCAAAAACAACTACAGAAGGCCAGAAGTATTGAAGTACGTGTAACCCAGCAATTAGTTAGAGGTGGTATGGGTTAAAGGGTGGTTGTATGGGATGGGGGACGTTATAAGTAATCGAAATTAATCGATGAAAAAAAATTTGATTAAACGAAGTGGAAAATTTTAATCATTACCAGCCCTAATGAATAGTATTTTGGCGATTGCACCCCACCACAGGCATTGCTGTACCACGCGTTCTGGTGCGGGTGATCGCACAGCGGGCGGGAGGCGTGTCTGTTGTGGCGTTGGCATGAATGGCACCACCACGCCCCCTCCACCCCAGAACGCAGGAGGCTTGGTTAATGCAATCCTGTGCGTTCTGGGCACTAACTGTGCCGGAACGCACTGGATTCTATAAAATTGCAATACAATAAAAAAACTAAACAAAATTACAACAGGGATCTCAAGTCTCCCTGATGTTCAGGGAGTCTACCACTATTAGATAGCGGCTCCCTGACGTCCGCGAGAGAGGCATTTTCTCCCTAAAAGGTTTACTCTGAGTAAGATATCAGTGGGTAAGGTTTCAGAGTGAGGCTTGCCTCCTGGAGGGAGGTCATGTGATCTCTAGAGTAGCCTCAGAACGCGGCCTGCCTCCTGGAGGAAGGTCATGTGATCTCTAGAGTAGCCTCAGAACGAGGCTTGCCTCCTGGAGGAAGGTCATGTGATCTCTAGAGTGGCCTCAGAACGAGGCTTGGCTCTCAGAAGGAAGAAGCTACTTGCTGCACAGAGAGGGCGGACATAGACTACTTGAGAGCAGGTACAGGCACTGCTGCAGGGTTGAGAGAGTGCTGTTAACCCTTTGTGGATAATATAGAATCAATGAAATGTCCCGGTTGTCTAGTTATAGAGAATATTTATTTCATTTGCTGCCCATAGCAACTAGTCATCTGTGTATCAGGGACTTTACCCCTCAGCGTTTTTTTAAAAAGGTCTTGGGCTGTCTAATAAATTGTGACCTGTACACTGACAGACACTTGAACATCAATTCACAAATCTGATGTATGTATAAATAAATATATAATATTATTGTATTATTGGTATATGGATTTTATTTTACTCTGTGTATGTGTGTCTGTATGTATATATATGTATATATATATTATTTCTTTTATATTCTGACGACGGCCGCTGTAAAAAAAAAACAGAAACGGCAACTCCCTGAAATGAGGCGGGAACCTCCCTGAAATAAGGTTTTGCAGGTTGGGATGTCTGTTACAATATGTAGCACTTTGCAAGTACATACAGTAAAACACATTTCTTTGGAGAGAGCCCACCTTTAACCCCATGACACACATAAAGTATTGTAATGTAAATATACAATAATCTCTAACAAATAATAGACTTACAAGCATATGTGTATCAAAGGGAAAATCAGGAAAGCTGAGCTGGTATGCTTCTGGAAGCTGTGAGGGTGAAACTTTATTGACAAATTGTAAACTTTATTAACAAACTGTAAACTTTATTAACAAATGCGAGTCCCTTCCTGTTTCCTTCAGGAGAGGGATTACACTGCAATTACAACCAACCAACCAACCACTACAGCCTCTACAATGATAATGTGAGAGACAGTACACTTAGTAATGTAATTAAAAACACAATAATAAGTGTAGCCAATACCACTTCCTGTAGGGTGGCTACTAGAAATGTAGGATTGCTAGAAATGTAATCAATCTGGGTGATTCATAGCTGGCTATTATCTGGTTAATTCCAGGAGTTCTGCTAGTGATTGTACCTGCCTGAGTGAGTGTGACCCTGCTGTAGTGAGGGACAGCCAATGGGGGAGCATCATAAGTGTCTGTGGCTCCCCAGACAATCACTGGGGGTTTAAGGGCCAGTGGTGCATGCTGCGGGAGTGCATATCTACTCAAGGGATTGCCATGTGCTCAGTCCAGTCAGCCCCCGGGCTCAGCCTGGGGTGGGATGCTCAAGGATTACCATCCCTGTTCAGCTGTTGCTCTATTGCCCAGTGTCAGCCTGTTCTCCTATTGATTCCGCACTGTGGAAGTCTGAAGGGATAGTGAGTATGGAGTCTTTCCTATTTTTGTCATGGATATCCTAAGCCCTATACCCCCTTCTCCTAGTTGATGTTCTACAATAAAGCATTTGAAAAGGCACTTAAAGTGACTGGCTCCCCACTTTTGTGATCACACATCCCCTCAAGGATCTGCCCTTGAGAGTGAAATGTCAGCCCTCTGCTTTTTGAGGGTCCACCTCAGGCCTCTGGGGGTCAAGGGGGTGCTACATAAGCCATTCCTGAACCTTCATGTACTAATGTCCAGACTAGAGGGGACACAGGTATCTTTGACTGGTGGAATAACCCGTGCATAAAAATCATGTGATGACATTTTCAGAAGTCTACAACAACGGGATCCCAGACTGCTCATTAGTTACAGTAGAAGTTCTGCCTGGTTGCTGATTGGTTGATTCTAAAAACTCATACAGGTATTCGTCACATTTCAAGGCACAAAAATGCCCTGAGGTGGCTTCACACCTTTATAAAATGTGCCCTTTCTAGCATGTTATTGTAAAGTGTTGGCTAGGGTGGAGCAGATACATTTTTATCTTCAGAAATGCTTCACATTTTTTAAGAGTACCTGTTACCATTTAGCTTTTAGATGTCTACACAAGGGAGGCTTTTACAGGTAAACAACATGACTAAAATACATTCCAAGAGAAGTAAAACCAAAACTTTTTTGTCTCTTAAGACCCAAAGCCATTGATCGTAGGATAATGCCCACTATCTGCCTGCAGCAAAGATCCAAGTTGAAGCTGGGAAGGATCCCAACAATATTGTTGGTAAACCACCTGGCTGCCTGATTGACAGCTGTCTCTGCCTCTCTAGAGCCAGAGCCAGCTGTGCCGCCCCCTCCCCAGCCTGTAGCTCCAACCAGTCTGGGAGGAGCAGAGAGGGGGATCCATACAGGGGGCAATTACTGACACTCACTGCCCTTCGCAGGGAGAAGAGACCAAGAGCTGACTGAGCATGACACATGATCAGCCAGCTCTCTGACTTTAAGCCGGCGTAGGGCATAAAAAATCAGGTGCCCTGACCTGCCAGACAGGGCTGTGCTGTGCGGCAGAGCTGTGGAAATCTTAAAAATTGATGGACAGAAATATAAACCTATTGGGAGGTAAATCAGTTCCAATATCATTATTTCATTTGCGTCTTTAGCTTTTTGCCTGGAGTTCAGCAGAACTATGGCCTCCTATTTTAAAAAATATGTTACAGCAATTAATAAGTACATCTGCACTTACAGTTTTCTCTTAGTCCACCTGAAAAGCTCAAAAAATACCTCTTGACCCTACCAGTGAAGTCCACCTAATGCAGCTTCCTGTGATGGCGTGGCAAGGATGCTGCATGCTTCACAGCAGAGTTGCCCCTCTCATCTTCTGTGCCTGCTTGCACTACAGTGGTTGGAGGATGTGTAGCAGGGGGCGTGGCTATCAGTATTGTCACTGCTGATTCCCAAGCCTGTAGCTTGTCAATCAGCACCTGGCCATATCTAGCCCCGCCTACTGCTTTCTAGATTGACAGTTCTGCCTCTGTTGCTGAAACACTCCCAGTGTGAGCTGCTGTGTCCCGGAGGGGGAGCATGTAAGACACAAATGAAGGAGTCGCAATATGTCTGTGAAGGTTCTCATTCATCCATGTCATGTCATATCTGTATAAAATAAGTCAAGGCAATTGGACTTGCTGTATTTTTCTTGAAGACGTTTTACTGGTCATCCGACCAGCTTTCTCAATTCAGAAAGCTGGTCTGAATTGAGAAAGCTGGTCGGATGACCAGTAAAACGTCTTCAAGAAAAAAACAGCAAGTCCAGTTGCCTTGACTTATTTTTTACAGATACAAATGAAGGAGGATTTGGCTCAGCTCACAAGCACCTGTGCACTCATTCTCAGCATTACAGCCCCGCAGGGAGATTCTATTCAAGAAAAATGTAACCCCCCCCGCCACCCCCTTTGAAGAACAGGTGCGGTGTGCAATAAGAAGCTGGAAAAGGTGGAGCAATGTAAAAACTGTGTGCTAGTCATTGTGTCTTGGCCAAAGAAAGGGTTAAGTGAGCAGGGTGGATCTTATTTTATGTAACAAAGCTTACTTCCTGAGAATCATTCAAAGAAATATTTTCACTTTGTCTTGGACTCCTCGCCCCTGTCTATAAGACCGATTGGCCAATCCAATCAACTCCTCCGTAGACAATTGTATCAGAGGTTTATTTTTTTCCCAGAATGGCGACTTCTGGCCTGAGAGAAGAGCTGAACTGCTCCATCTGCCTGAATCCTTATACGGAGCCCATATCACTGAAATGTGGACACAACGTCTGCCGGGGATGTATTGTGACTGTGCTGGATACACAGGCGTCTGGCATTTGCCCGGAGTGCAGAGAGGACTATCCGCTGGAGAAGAAGAGGAAGCTGTGTAATGTTGTGGACAATTTGACAACCAGTCTCCAGGAGGACACAGAGGTCTTGTGTACGTATTGTGATTCTCCTGTCCCAGCTTCTAAAACTTGTCTGCACTGTGAGGCCTCCTTTTGTGAGAAGCACTTAAGCAACCACAGCAAGTCAGCGGATCACATTTTATCTGAACCCACCACATCATTTGAAGACAGGAAATGCTCCACACACAAAGAAATCCTGAAATATTACTGCACAGTGGATGGGGCCTGTATCTGTATGTCCTGCTGGGTGGCTGGAGACCACAAAAGGACACCACGTGGAGCTTCTGAATGAAGCCTTTGAGAAACTGAAAGATGTTACTGGGAAACTGAGCTCTGAGATACAGACTGAGAAGAGAATCCAAAATCTGGAAAATCACAGGACACAAGATAAGGGAAAAGCAGCTGATGTCATCGGGAGAGTCACTGAGCTGTTTGGAGACATCAGGAAACAGCTGGATGGTGTAGAGAAGAGAATCCTGGCCGACATCTCCAGACAGGAGGAGCAGATCCTACTGAAAGTCTCAGATCTCATCCATCAACTGGAGGAACAGAAGGATGAGCTGTCCAGGAAGATTAATCAGATGGAAGAACTGTGCAATATCCAGGATCCATTAACTGTCCTGAAAAAGGCACCCAATAGAGATGACATGAGACCTAAGACAGGTGACACCAACAGTGATGCAAGTAATGTTGGCTGTCTGGTTGATGGAATCATCTCTCAGATGCTACAGAGAGGACTTTGCAGCTTTCATCAAAGTCTAAAAAATCTGATGACAAAGGAACAATTTTCAGTGCTGGAGAAATCCAACATTCTTCTGGATATAGATACTGCTCATGACAACCTCATAATATCAAAGAAACGGAACAGAGCCACTCACATTGACAACGGTGTGAACAAGCCGGATGGTCCAAAGAGGTTTAAATGCTGCCAGGTACTAAATAAATACAGCTTCACATCCGGGACACATTACTGGGAGGTTGATGTAAGAGAAGCAGGGGAATGGATGATCGGGGTGGCCTCTGAAAGCATGGAGAGGAAGATAGTGGGAAAAGAATCTTATATAGGCTTTAATGACAAGTCATGGAGTCTGAGCCAAAGAGCTTCAATTCTTCAAGTCAGACACAAGAACATTGTTAGAAATATAGACTCCAAATCTTTACTGAAAACTGTCGGGATCCATCTGGATTATGAGGCCGGCCGTCTGTCCTACTACCAGCTGTGTGGCCCCGTCAGACACCTCCACACCTTCACCTTCACTGAACCCCTCTATCCCGCTTTCTACATGTTTCCAAAAAGCTCCATCAGAATTATAAAGTAAATACCATAATAGACTGAAAAAGTGAAATTACATTTTTAATTGGATTTTCATATATTACTATAAAAGTGAATGTTATTTAATTTAAAATACATATATCCAATATTTGTTTCTGATATGGATAGAGTAAGAAAGTTATAGAACCCCCTTCAAATGTTATTACTGTCTGTGTCTCAGTTGGGAAGATTCGCCCTTGCCATCAGCGAATTTTGCTTTTATGGACTTATATATAGTATGAAAGAAATATACATTTGGAGGAGCTCTCTTGTGTGCTGCCATCCTGCTGTAAACTGATGTGCACCCTTGGAAGGTGCCTTGTGGCTTTGAACCATGGTGGTGGAGTGTAGGGTATAACGGGAGGTTAGAGCGGTGTACTGCATGATTGGGTCACTCTCTCTATTAGTCTTGATGTCCAAAACAGAAGGCGATGGGAAATCCAAAATATTAAATTTTTCACCAGGCTCGGGTATGCTCAGTGGCGTCACGTGGGGGGTGCGGCCACACCCAGGTGACACCATTGGAGGGGTGACAGTCATTTTGGTGTCACCCCCTCTGAAAAGATGGGCACTCGTTTATGGGTCAAGAGCCCGACAGCTGCAGGAGAGAGAGGAGGGGACCCGGCAGCATACCTTATCTAGCCGGGTGAATGTCCCCTCCACTCTCTGCTGGCGTCCATCACCAAGATGACCGCAGGCAAGTATCAAAAAGATTTCACGTCGGGGTATCACCCGGTATCTGCTCGGGGTGACACCTGGCCTCAGGATGCCCCTGGGTGCCCTTCCAGTGACATCTGCGTGGTGTTTCCCTCACTTTGGAGAGATCTCCCCCTACTTCCTGTCAAATCTGTAGGACAGGAAGTGAAGGACAATCTCCCTGAGATTTAAGCAGCAAATAATAAACAAATAATAAGGTGCTGTGTCGAGCGCAGTCTCCCCGCACTCCACCGAACCAGGCCGTCTGCCGTTGCTCCAGCCCGTGGCTGTCTTCAGGGACACAGCACCTCTGCTCCAGTAGCCTCTCTGCTCCTTGCAGTACCGAACGGACTCCTCAGCACTTAACCACCTGTCATCCCAACCGCAAGTACTAGGGGCTCTGCCTCTACCTATAGTTGCTATTTCACTTCCTATAGTGATTGCTAAGGTTGAATGGAGTGCTGTATCATATTTTGCCTACCTGCCTAAATCTGCCCATTAGGATTGATCATATGCTGTTGTGGATACTTTTGTCTCCAGTGTGCACCTAATTCCAAATTGCTAACTGAACTTGCTGCTGAAGTAATAGAACTATTGAGTATTCACAATCCCTTTGGTGCTGGGAGTTCTGTAGGACTTAAAGATTCTGTGTGCTTAATACTGTGTCATATGCCATAGGGAATTACAGTACCATCACTCCCCGAAATTGCTTATCTTGCAGACGGATAAATACAAAGGTACCTGGTATTGCCACCCTGATACTAGGCCTCTCCTCCCTCTAGGCCGGGATACATGATGTGGAACGGTTCCCCATAGCACTGGGTTTATTAGGGAACCGTCCGCCTGATCCAATCCCATAAAGCCTATTCGACAGTAGATCCGCAGCTGTGATCCTAACCCTCTGCTGCTCGTAGGGTCGTGACACAACCTTTATTTGGAGGGACTGTCCCTTTTTTTCAAGCCTAATCCCTCTCCCCCTGTCCCTCTTTCCTCCTCGGTTGTTTTTATTTTTTGGTCCGATATATAGACCTATATTCTGATATGTAAAAATGTACTATTTCTATTTACCTGTGCAAAGTTTTACATTACACCAAATATATCATCCAGCGCCTGGTATAATTGCATTTGTTATTTTGAAAGCCCAGTGTAACGGAAAAAAAGGGGAAATAAAAAGCACTGGTGGGTAGAGTCAAATATTTTAGAATATTAATTTCTTGTGGTCCATTAAACTGGGGTGGGGCTGCCATGGCTGTATACATAGTCTACATACGGCTGGGCACACACCTTACAACCATCGCAAGACTTTTGTCTTACGATGGTTGTAAGGTACTTAAAAAAACGTACGGTCTGCCTATCTTGCATAGGCAGATCGTACTTGCGATGATCGCAAGCCACGCCCCCTGAGGGGCGGGCTTCCGATGAGCGCAATGCCGAACGGGCAGTGTGCCCTTGCGCACACCGGCCCATACGGCTGTTATCATACGGACATGCCACACACCCGCCGAACATCGTACGATGCTTACGATAATCGTACGATCGTGGGATTTCCTGCAATTATCGTACGATTATCGTAAGGTGTGTGGGGACCTTACTTCATACTAAAAGGTGTCCCTGCTTCCCATCTCAGAAAGGTGAGAGCTTTGGTTTTAGAATGTTAATTGTCCAAAAAGGTGTGAAAGGTAATGAACACCGTCTTGTAATTCACATAATCCAATCCCAGCCAGAAAGTCTGGGTCAAGGTGTTACTGTTTGAGCCACATGGCTGAAGCTGACAATTGTTGTCAAATGACTGAGGAACGATGATAGGACTGCTTTAGTGGTTGTCTGTTTAAATTAGAAATACAAAAATAAGTAATAATGGACATTATAAAATCTTCTGAGGGCAAAGAAATACGTTGTCAGAGATGGTTGACATGTGAGGGGTTCCAATGTATTGTTTAGGGGGGAGGAAGGAACAAGGTATTAAGCTTGTAATAAAAGGGTTTATTGTTTAGTTATCACATTATTGAACACTGGAGGAATATGTATAATAAGAATAGAGGAATGTATATAATAAAAGGGAAAATAGTGAGGGCTACATATATATTATAGGCTTTAGTAGTCACAAACACTAGAGGGGCATCCCAAATGAATCATAAGGGTTTTGGTACACTCCCACCCCCCCCATTAAAACTCTAAGAGTGGGAGCTTGAATGTGAGAAGAGAGTGATAGGGGGAGTGAAGTATGATGGATGGCTAGTGATTTAGTGATTGATATTGGAAGTGGGTGTAAGTTGTTGTTATTTCAATTAGAGTTATACATAATTATTAAAACTAAGAGACAATTTGAAATCAATATCTATGAATGTTTTTGTATAAATGCACTTTTATGGAAACAAAACAATAAAAATATATTAAACCAATGTATTGTTTAGACTCCAGTCTTCAGGTGGGCTTCTTAGCATATAACTTGAGACAAAGACCTCATCTAACCACCAAACCATCTGGAGGAGGACAGGTGAGGTCCTTCACAATCCATGTGAATGTAAACAATACAGGACAATACAAACCCATCATTGCTAAAATGGGGTTTTCCTACAGGTATGGTAATACAGTAATATGTTAAGAACATAGAGTTACAGCAAAAACTCTAATCATTTCTGCAGCTGGAATGTTATCATGGGTACAGCAGACTTTTGTATGTTTTTGTTCAATATTCTAACAAAAGGACAGATTTAGTTTTTAACCCCCCAATTTTATATTTTATTTTTGGCATAATGTCTTACTGTCCACAGTTTTCTTAAGCAAATCATTTTTGTGAATTGGTTGTAAAGTTTATTTCCTGGAGATCCTGCCAATAGCAGAACTTCCTGTTGCAGGCTGACAACTCTAAGCCACTGATTTGCAATTAGTAGCAGCGTTGAGATTTTAGCAAAATGTTGCCAGTGTGGTCAGGTGGACACAATATGAAAAGGGAATCTAAGGTGGTTTTTAAGGGTTCAAAAGGCTTTTAATGGCTTCTTGGGGTTACTGAAGCTCTGTTAAATTAAATTGTAGACTCTGATGATGATGATGAGTTTAACCTCCCTGGCGGTATTCCCGAGTCTGGCTCGGGGTTAATTTTCAATGCTAGGAGCGGTAAACCCAAACCAGTCTCGGGAATGCAGAGAAAAGTGACACTCACCTTGTCCCTGCGATCCCGCGGCGTCCTCTGCTGTACGCGGCCCGAAAACGAAACTAAAAGTCCGATGCCGGCATCTGACTTTTAGTTTCGTTTTCGGGCGTCACAGCCGGCGGGAAATTAAAAAGTGAAAAGTTGCAATGTACACAGAATACACACAATACAATGTAATCTGCTATGATTGCACTTATGAATCAAACTATTTCACGTATTATAATTTCTTATAATTATTTAAAATTTATTATATTATAATTTTTTTTATTTCGTGTTTCAAACTTTATCATACCTGGGATGTCTACTGGACTCTTGTTTGGACAGATTTAGGGGAGTTATTCCTAAGATTTACTAAGAATTGCAGGCCTACAATACATAACACCAAATTTCCATGAAAAACAATGTACCGCTTTTGGTACAAAATTCCTGACATAATCATACCGCCAGGGAGGTTAAGCTTTGTAAACTGAGCCTGACACAACTAATCTTACATTTGTATTTTCCCTTTATGTTCACATAGTTCACTGTGATTGCCTCGTCATTTGCTTATTAAATATGTAATCTTTGAAGTCTCAACCCCACACCATGTATTTTTCAATTCAAATATTCTAAAAAATCCCCAAAATAAATAAAAAGTGACACTTATAGTTTGCTATCTCCTTCGACTTCTATAACCACTTTGAAGAACAGATGCTGTTTGTAATGAGAAGATAGAGAAGGTTTTGTAATGTAGAATCTGTGTCGTTATACCAAATTATGTGTCTTCATCAGTTGCAGAAAGTTTGGCCTTTAAGTTGTACTCTTTATATATTATCCTGAATTATTAAAGATGAAAGCTTGCAGGACCCCTTCAGGTCTCTCCTCCGGCTTTATGCAGTTCTGAAAATAAGAGAAACATTTCTATAAAGCCGGAGAAAGGGAACTAAGGAATACCAAAAGCTTTCATCTTTATAACCTTAAGTTAGCCAATCAAGGATATCACTTAAACTCCAAATGTGTTGCATTAATTAATGTCTAACCTGGAACAAGACTATCTGTCTTCAGCAGAGAAAGGGATACTCGCTTTACTAGGAGGCCAGATCACACTTTACATAACAAAGCCTCCATTCATCCCCAGTGTATAAGACCGCTGCTCTGAAGTTGTATCACAAGTTAATGTCCTTCTCAAGAATGGCATCTGCTGACTTGAAAGAGTAACTGAACTGCTCCATCTGCCTGGACCTTTATATGGAGCCCATATCCCTGAAATGTGGACATATCTTCTGCTGGAACTGTATTGTGACTGTGCTGGATACACAGGAGGTGCCTGGAGATTATTCCTGTCCTGAGTGCAGGGAGATGTTTACCGAGCGCCCTTCCCTGGAGAAGAACAGGAAGCTGTGTAACATCGTGGAGCACTTCAGATCCGCTCACCAGGAGGAAGTAGAGGTCTTGTGTACGTACTGTGACTCTCCTGTCCCAGCTTCTAAATCGTGTCTGCACTGCGAGGCCTCGTTCTGTGAGAAGCACCTGAGCAACCACAGCAAGTCAGCGCATCATATTTTAATTGAACCCACCACATCTTTTGGAGATAGAAAATGCTTCACACATCAAGAGATGCTGAAATATTACTGCACAGAGGATAGAGCCTGTATCTGTATGTCCTGCTGGGTGGCTGGAGACCACAGTGGACACCAGGTGGAGCTTCTGAAGGAGGCCTCTGAGAAGACGAAAGAGGAACTGAGAGAATTTATAAACGAATTGGACTCTAAGAAACAGGAGATTCAGAGGAGAATCCAGAATCTGGAAAACCACAGGGCACAAGAGGATGGAAAAACAACTGCTGTTGTCAGGAGAGCCGTTGAGCTGTTTAGAGAAGTCAAGAAACAGTTGGATGATATAGAGAAAAGGGTTCTGCTGGAGATGTGCAGACAGAAGAAGCAGATCTCACAGTCAGTCTCTGATCTGATCCAGCAGCTGGAGGAACAGAAGGACGAGTTGTCCAGGAAGATTCATCAGATGGAAGAACTGGGTAACATCCAGGATCCATTAACTTTCTTGAATAAGGCACCTAAAAAGGATGACATGAGTCCTGAGACAGGTGACACCATCAGCGATGTAAGGAATGTTGGCTGTCTGGTTGAGGGAATCATCTCACAGATGCTACAGAGAGGACTTTGCAACTTTAATTACAATCTGAAGGATCTGATGACAAAGAGACAATTTTCAATGATGGAGAAATCTGACGTTTTGCTGGATATAAATACTGCTCATGACAACCTCATAATAGCAAAGAAACGCAAGAAAGCCACTCACATTGACAACGGTGTGAACAGGACGGATGGTCCAAAGCGGTTTAAATGCTGCCAGGTATTAAGTGTAGACAGCTTCACATTCGGGACACATTACTGGGAGGTTGATGTAAGAGAAGCAGAGGAATGGCTGATCGGGGTGGCCACTCAAAGCATGGAGAGGAAGATAAAAGGAAATGAATCTTTTATAGGCTATAATGACAAGTCATGGAGTCTGGCCCAAAGAACTGGTCTTCAAGCCAGGCACAAGAACTTTGTTAAAAATATAGACTCCAACTCATCTCTAAAGACTGTCGGGATCTATCTGGATTATGAGGCTGGGCGTCTGTCCTTCTACCAGCTGTGTGACCCCATCAGACACCTCCACACTTTCTCCGCCACTTTCACTGAACCCCTCTATCCCGCTTTCTACATGTTTCCAAAAAGCTCCATCAGAATTATAAAGTAAATACCATAACAGACTTAAAAATTCATTTATTTTTTTTCATTTCATCTGCATATATAAGGTATATATATAAGGTAATTTCCTAATTTTCAAGTGTATCTATATTGGCTATAGAAGTTTTTTTTAACCCTTTCCCTATTCTAACAATAACTAACAAAATATTTTTGCTATACATACATTGTAACTATTATAATGGATATGAAGATCATCGTTTCACTCTTCCCACTTCCATCTAAACCAAGCAATAAAAACATTTGGCTATACAGACACTTAAACTGTTTTCATGGTTGTGAAAATTAAATGCTGGCAACATAAACAGGACTTCTAAGAGATCTTATGTTCCCTTTATTTGGGTTGTTATAATCCAGTGAGTATTTGTACAATTCTATTGTTAATGATTATAAATGCTCTGTAGTCTGTACACTTCCTTTGTGGATCACACTTGTTTGCAAATGTTCATTCTTCTGCCAGTAAACCTTTCTGCTTTCTAAAAGAGGTGTTTGTCTCATTATGTGTAAGGTGTTACCTTTGAAGGTGTAGCAGGTGTCCTATAATCTAAAAGCGGTAAGCAATGATAGGAGGCGAAGCCATATTTCAATTCTGATATTGGGAAATATTGGGATTGAGTTACTAAAGGTAAATAGGATGTTCAGTTTGCAAGGGAATTTGCTCTTTGCAGGGAAAGTTTCCCCTTAGCTTGGTGAATGTGGCGAAATATCAGTTTGCAAAGAATACCCAATCACGTAAAAAAAGAAAATAAACAATTTGCTTGCATGTGATTGGGTGATGGAAGTCAGTAGAGCTTTACTTCATTCACTAAACTAAGTGGGAAACTGCCCCTGACTACCTCCCTTATAAATAACAAGGAGAAATCAAGATCTATATGTTCCTCATGGTTATACTTTACAAGGACCTCGGAATCCCCCTCTAACTGGCTCTGTCAATCACATACCAATGTGACCCGGCCCTTTTGTTGACTGCATCTTAGCCCTTAACATCTGGCATGCCATACTTGCATATGTGGTTTTCCCCTCCATTTTACTTTTTCTTCCCTCCTTTCTTCCCCCCGATATACCTCTCCTTCTCCACTTACTCCCACCTTCTCCTGCTGCCTTCCTTTTGCATCCCTGCTAGCTCACCATTTACTCCTGCAAGGGGCATCCCTGATTCCCACCAGCAGGTCTCTTGCTATGTGGTATTTACATCCCACCAGCCATATCCCTCTCCTCTAAAAGGACTCATACCTATAGTTCCTGATTCTTCCACCAAATTGACTGTTTCCCCAAATGTGAAATAAATGGTATATTTTTGCTTCCAGGAACCAGGTACATGGTGTCTGTTTTACCATGACAATATTGTCAGTCAATCATGTTCATAACTGTACTTATTATCACACCCCGAGTCAAGTGTATCATTGTTTTGGGAACCAAGCACTGGATATTGCACTCTTTCTAATGTACGTGATATATGGTTTCCTCTGGGTCTGCTACTTCATGTAATGTTTGTACAAACCTTTTTTTTTTTAGAACTGGGGTCCTTAAAATTCCTAAAAAGACAGACAGTTCACTGTCCTGGAGATTTTAGAGGTCTAAACTGTTGTCAGTGGGAGTAGAAATTGCCCCAAAACAAGTAGACAATCCTATTGGCTCAGTGATAAGTAGGGGTAAAATGCTCCAGGATGGTTGGTGTCAATGTTGAAGAATACTGCCGATCAGTAGTTTCCTTGGGGGGGAATAGTGACCCATCAGTGGTGTCTGTGGAGGAAATAGTGCTTCATCAATGGTGTCCATGGAAGAAATCGGGCCCCATCAATAGTTTCTTTAGAAGTTAGAGTGTCCCATCAATGGTGCCCATGGAAGAAATCATGCCATATCAATAGTATCTTTAGAAAAAAGTGAAAAGTTGCAATGTACACAGAGGAGGGAATAGTGCCCCATCAATGGTGTCTGTGGAGGGAATCGTGCCCCATCAATGGTGTCTTTAGAAGGAATAGTGCCCCATCAGTGGTGTCTGTGGAGGGAATAGTGCCCCATCAATGGTGTCTGTGGAGGGAATCGTGCCCCATCAATGGTGTCTTTAGAAGGAATAGTGTCCCATCATTGCGATCAGTGGAAGGACTAGTGTCACATCAATGATGTCCATGGGAGGAATTGTTCCCCATTGTTGGGGTCAGTGGGAGGAATTCGTACTCCATTGTTGGGGTCAGTGGGAAAAATAGTGAACCATAGTTGGGGGTCACATGTAGCCAGCAATAAAAGACGTTGATTTCAAGGTTAATATCAGTATTCTAAAAGTTTAACAGGGTTCATATAGACGGTCATCTTTTTTTTTTACAACACTTTCAAGTACCCTAACTATTAACAAAAATGTATCTTATTTGTGTATCACTTGTTGTAAAGTAGTCACCGCTCCAAGCTTGTTGCCGCAATGGTCTACAAGACTGACTACAAGGCCAAGTAACCCTCACTTCCCACCTAAATAACACACTAAACACCAGTAATTTCAAAGGACGTAATGCAGTCTAATGTTCCTGTGTGTGTTGTGAAGTAGTCACCTCTCCAAACTCATTCCTATGATGGACTACAATCTCAATACAAATGAGTAAACTAAACATGAGATTGTAGTCCATCCTGGGAGTGAGCTTGCAGCGGTGACTACTTTACGACACACACAGGGACCATGGGGAACACAAGTAATCCCCCTCCAGAAGGAAGGACAGTGTCAGCACCAATTCAGAGATGATTTGAGCATCTGCAGCCCAGTGATACACAAACAAGATACATTTTTGTTAGTAGTTAAGGTACCTGAATGTATCTGTGTTTCTTGTGTGTGTGTGTCCACGGTCTATACTAGTTCCCCACCCTCTTTCCCAGACCTCCTTGGTCTACAACAGTTAAAAACACATGCATGAACAGCTGTGCAACCACATGATCCTGTAGCGAACACCTTTTCCATTACCGCGTTATCCGATGAAGGGCAGTGGGGGACCAGATCGCTCCGTCGGCAGGCCTACGACGGCTGCGGACTCTCTGGAAAGGTCTTGTTTATGCTTGCCCTACTTATATGTCTATTTTGATGGATATCTCTACTTAAATATATATATGATTCTTGATGTACTTACTGGAAGTGCCTAAATTGTGTACGCTGTTTCCTATGCACCAATAAAGAATTTATATTTTTAAAAAAGGGTACCTGAATGTATTTTTAAGATTTTACTCCTGAGTTTAGTGTCACTTGAAACATTTTTGCATAAAAATGACAAAAGTTTGATATGAAGGGGGTCTCAATGCATTGTTTGTACTCCAGATGGAAGGTGGTCCCTTTGTCAGGTAGACCTGAATAGTGTCCAGTCAAAGACAATGACCCCACCTCACCACTCCCCAGCTGGAGAAGAAGGACGGGTGTGGTCCATCAGGATCCATGTGATGTAAACAATACAGGACAAGACAGACCAGCTGGTTGTAAATCTGTTTTTCGGTACAGATATGGAAATATCATAGTGATATGGTAATGATACAGAGTTTCAGCAAATAGTTCAGAAAAGTTAAACCTTAAATTGTATCAAACATACAACAGACTTTGAATGTTTTTGATTTAGATGTTAACAGAAGGGTTTATTTGGTATTGAATGGTATGCATAGCTAAAACTTTTTTTTTCCTTTTGGATAGAGTAGGGAGGTGATAGACCCACTTCTTTTATTGTTAAAACAAATATCTGCAGGACAAAGAGATATAGCAAAGATG